CAATGTGTGAACAAAACAAACTGTCAGAATCTGTTCTAGGTTAGAACTGTCCAAAACTGTTCCATGGTAGAACCACTTCTGTCAGAAACTGTTCTTTATGTGTAAGATTGTTCTGCAGACGGTTCTTAATCGATTCTCTAGACAGTTCCTAATAGATTTTAAGAGAGGTCAGAACTGACCCCAACTGTTTGAATATTTTCATCAATCTATAATAATGGACCCGCTCATCAGGTATATTTATATCAAACCCAAACCAATGTGGAATAGACATGACAAAAAGTAGGAACAACAAAAGTTCCGAACTCCAAGGTATATTAAGGGGATGTCTATAAAAACTGACAAAACCAAATACTCGACTGTACCAACAAACGGAACGACTGCCATACTCCTGACAGCTGGATAAACCTTCAATTTGTTTGATAGCTGACTATAGTTGAATATAATTATATTGACAAAACTAGTGTGAGTAACCCAAACAGACAAAGTTGGCTAACATGACTATAATTGAGATCCAGCAGTCAAAATTGTGTAGACATACATTATAGATATATAACATAACTAAATTAAATAATAAAACAAATAAACACAATTGTCAATAACTGCATATATACTAACAAAGACGCCAACAAAAAAAAAGAAGTTAACTTTATAACGGGTCTTGTGAGAGCGGTTCACATCCAACTTAACTTTAGAACTTGTGGAATAACAGGTCAGATCCAAGATGACTTTACAACTGGCCTTTAATGAGCAGTTATGCTCCAAATTAACATTTGCGAAGGACTGGTTGTGATGAAGGTAGTCCCCCGTCTTTACTACAATAGCAGTCTTGGGGAATGAATTAACTTGATTTGCAGGTTATAAACTGTGCCATCTGTATCCTGGTTAATAAATGATCAATACAAATAATATTGCGAAACTGCAGTCGCAGAAGTACTGACAGGATTCCAAGAGATTAAATTGTATAAGACATTATAATACATGTATTGACCATACATGTAATCAACTGATTTTGTCCTGTCTCTTAATTCAAAAACTTTTCAAAGTCATTATTTAACCCAACTTGTAGCACTTGTAGTATCAATTCTATGAAGAGAAAGAAAATAAAACCCATTCCTTTCCATGCAGACAGCTACTTGGATATAGACATCTGTCAAAGCTTAAATTATCCCAAAAGCTGCAGTATAATTACTTTAGTGAAAGTTCTTTGTAAAATACTAGATTAAAGTTTCCTGTGTATGATATAATATTGTACTAAGGACAAATTGACAAGACCTGAAGTTATTATCACGCCAATCCCTCAAAATTATAATTTCACCGCTGAAATTATACCTTATCTGTTGTAAACCGTTTATACAGAATCTTTTAGTTTGACAGGTTAATTGTCAGCAATATCTGAAGGAAAATTCAGGACATGAGCTAAAGATATTAAATGGTTTTATTCAAGAACTAAATATGTGATAAAACTAACCTCACAGTTAAAGCATAAAGCGAATGAAACTGATTTGATTGTGCGCTAAATTTCTGTCTGGAATTACTTTCATCAGATATTTTAGAGATTAAACGTCCTTGAAGCAAGATATGTTAAATTTTATAGGCCCTAAACAGTCTATTCGATAATGTCAGGTCAATTCTGCTGAACGATTTACACGTTTAGTTTTGACTGCAATTACATGATTTATATATTATACCCATCCCATTTTGTGCCAGTACCAAGTCAGGTTTTCTATGAAAATAAGAAGACACAAATAAGAGACAACCCTCAACCAGAGACCAAATGACACAGAATATCTAGACCATTTTCATTTTGTTGTTCAGTGCAGTTTTTCTTTGTTGGAACGTCTATTTTCTCAGAGGTATCGAGTGTTGATGGTTGCTTGTGTCTGTTGTAATGTCCCAATATATTTGGTTATTCCTTTTACCCTTGTCATTTGTTGTTTCAATATTTCCCACTCTAAGAAACCATCAGAAATGAATTTTCCAGGGTTAGTACAAAAGTTATACTCTCTTAAAAGATAATTATTATTTTCTTAAATAATTATACTTAGTATATTATAAATGCTACAAATGGGAAGAAGCGGTTCCTTTTTTTTTATATATATATATAAAGATCATTTTTTTTCGACTTATGAGTTTGAATATCCCTTTGGTGTCTTTCGCCTCTCTTGAACACACCATTTTGCTTTTTTATATATGGAAATATTTATGGATAATTGTAGATACATACATAATTGCAATGGAACTGTTAAAAAAAATTAAAGCAAATTTACTCTTTAAATTTCTTTGATATATCAGATTTCTACATGTGTCTTTGATGTCTTATATATGTCCCTGTATGTAATGGTAATACATGTAGAACGATCATGTTCAGTCGTACATGAACCGAATGACGTACAAATATATGTTTTATGTTAGATTTTGCTTTATTGAGTAAGGTAAAATTTAAGTTAAGAAGGATGAATGAAAAGTGGTACAAAGTTTTGAACTCTGTTAATGTGAGTGTTTGTACCTGTAACAAGGGAATATTAAGCACACATATACTTTGTGCTAGCTTTGCATAAATACTTGCTTTAAAATATACATCATTGTTTGGTATTATCAACTTTCAGGTGTATATTTGTTGTTTAAATTACTGATGCCATCGAATAAAATGATATTTCAAGAATGACTTTTAATGTGCGCTACATGGCGTTAAATACATAAACTGGTTCAACCATTTCATATGTTCATACTCGTTCCATTGTATGTGACCCCTAGATGTTGTTTTTTTAATTTCTAATGTGGCAACAAAATTCGTTTAATCTGATGAATATGTCAAAGATGTCCTTAAATGCGTTGTACAATTTGACAATGTCCATTAATTCACAAAGTTAGTTGATATGTATATCCTAAGCCAACAATAAATAAGCTTATTATAGTCCATGGATATCCAGCCCATCCCAAATAGGTTCTTGACAGTGCTAGTTAGAGGTTATTATATGGAGTAATATTTTTTTTACACAATTAGTAAGGCTTATCTGACTGAAAGTGGGCATCTAATGAATAGTTACATCAATAATGATCCTTCATTTTTCGAAATATGAAGTCAATAAAACATTACACATTTAACAACACTATGAGCAATGCGAAGCCTGCCAAAGAGGGAAATCATCTGCTCCGTAAGGACATCCATTAAGAAAACTTCGTATGAATGATGAGGCGTTATGGATTGTTGTCATTCATTTCTCAGTGACATTATGCAAATGAGAAGGAAACAAGTTCGTTATACATGTATTATGCAATTTGTGCGCATTGTCAGGTCAGGTAAAATTATTTTAAATTATGTATCATGATGTGTATTAATTTTGATGCGGCAATTAATCCATGACATTATCTGAAATCTCCTTCATTCATATGTATACGTAGAGGTCTCATAATTATGTCATTTTCACAAATTTCAAGTAATTTACATATGATTTAACAACAAATCGGTTAACTAAATTGAGTTAAATATAGTTATTATACCAAATCCTAAAACATCAGCTCTATTACTTTATAATAACATTGTCATATAACATAAAAATTACATATTTTGATATCTCATGTCATTTTATATATATTTTTTTTATTTATAATTGTTTTTAAATTATGCACATTAATAAAACCTCAATGCTACACGGGACTGTCATTTTATGTACGTCTTACAATATTAATTTACAAAACAAACTCGCAAGCTCGTGCAATAAGATATACTAAACGGCACAATAGTCTTCAATATAAGTGCAATAACCTATAGTATACAAGGTTCATTCAATACTTGCTCTCAATTTTTTGTTCTTGAAAATTATAGTCACTCACATCTAACATACTTATTATGACAATCTTATGATCATGAATAGTAAATATATGTCTATCATCAAAACATCTGCTATAAATGTGGATTTCCTTATCATTTTACTTTCATTTTCAATAAGTTATGCACACAAATAGAACTTTTTAGTATTTTTGATGATTGGGCATATATTTATAAATCCTTTGTCGTAACAAGAAAAACAATTCAAAACCTCAATCATATCTCTGATGTACAGGAGTGTTTTTTTTCACATTTCTGGAATTGATGAAAGAATATTTACTGAGATTATTAATTTTATTGGTAAGGCTGTGTGTGAGAGAGGACATATACTATAATTGTTAAACTCAACGGAGGACAAAGACAAACAACAGACTATAAAACACAACACAGAAAACGAAAGACTAAACAACAAGAACCCCACCAAAACCGGGGGGAATCTCAGGTGCTCCGAACGGGTAGGCTGATCCTGCTTCACATGTGGCATTTGTGTGCTGCTCGTGTGAGTAAAGATTTGGTGATCAGTTTCATTTGATGATGTCATTCGACGTGAAGGGAACTGAATTGTGGTTGTTACGACAATTGGAACATATCCATCTTGAACTGTGAAACATATATTCCATGACGGTCAAACAACTTGTGATGCCGGACTTAACATTTTCGAAGTGATGACTTCCACTTTACTACTTGGAACCTTTGCTCTAATAACTTCATTGTAAACAACAGCTATCTATCAAGGATATCCTTATAGGAACCGCAAGCTCAAGAACATCGTTACACAACCAGGATATATATACTCCATATGCATGCACTGCTGGAATGTTGCTAATCAGCAACATCATGATAGATTTATTACAATACATACTAATGAACAAGTAATTGATGGTTAGCCCTGATAAAAAAAATGTATTTAAAATACTGACAAACTTACACGAATATCTGATTGTTGTGTAAAGGGTGTTTTAAGAAAAAATTTTTTTTTTTTAAATTGAGGGCGGAGACGAAGAATGAATGACATAAGGATACAATATTTTGTTTTTATTAATTACACAAAATCCCTTCACATCACCTACAAAGCTAAAAATCAAAGAAACAGGGGTGTATTGCTGCTCCTAATTCAATTGTATTTTAGTTAAAACATAATTTAAATGATCGTATCTTTCTTTTTTATTAGAAGAGGCATTCCGTAAATGTGGCGCAGGAGGGCGATGGGAAAATAAAAACCCTGGAGATTACAGTTTGCCAAAGGGTTACACTAATTATACAGTGTGTTATACACCTGAAGCCTATGAAGTATACCTGAAATTTATGGCAGGCAAAACAGCTGAAGAAAGACAGGTATGTATTTATATTGTCTATGTGCCTTGAAACAAACACATGATAAAAATGGCATAGCTTCATCTGAAGTAATAAAATGGCCACCAGTTCATGAATACATTACATACATTTTGAAAACACCACTCAGCAATTGAACTTATTGGGTGTTTGTTTTTTTTTCATTTAAACCAGTTGTTTGATGTCATTTCACAATCTTTCGGTTTTTAACTTTATAAAAATAGACCATTCTAGAAAAGTTGCTTTGGAAATTAGAAAAAAGTAATGTCAGTTTCACTTAAAATATGTATTTTAATGTATATCCCATAAAGAATGCAAAACTATGATTACGACTAGTTTACATCTTGAAAACTCGGTGAATTTATACTAAAAGTAACGGTACAATTCTCAAGTCTTGGAACTTATCTTTGTTTTAGATCAATGAATAACAGTTAATTTTAAATTTTGTAACTTACTTAGCTTTGGATGTGAATTGTCAGGATGCATGGTTGATGAACCATTTCAATTCTTCAACGTTAATAGTACAACAGTGCAATATATTTTTTTTTATAAAAATCATTCGAAATGTAGATCTACTGAAGGTAAAGGGTCTATTAACGTTTGAATTTCAACATTTAGTCGGAAATGATATTCAAAGATACAATTAGAGAAACTAAGCTTTTAAATTAAATAAATGTAACATATATTTTTCAGTGTATGAAACATATTGCAGCAGGAACAAGGACAATGGAAATAGTTGGCCTTTCGATATCTTTGGTTGTGTCACTCATATCAGTGTTCATATTCACTTATTTTAGGTGAGATTACTTTATTGATAAGTTACCTACCACCGGTCTTCACGGAACTTTTTTTCAAAAAAACTATTACTGTCCCGACGACATTACTATAGTACTGTTAATCATGAAGACTGTGCCACGTTGATGAGTTGTTTGTTACGATAAAATATAATTTGATAACAAACTTAATAAAACACTTACAGCTTGAAGATTTTTTATCCGAAATAGTTCCAAAAGGTTTTGGAAGTTTTATAATACTATAATTCAACCTTTCATTTACTAATGATACATATAAGGTAATCAAACAAGCATGGAATTGGACTGGAAATGCATGGTTATAACAACAGCTACAAAAAAACTTATTACTCGAGATTAAAATTCTGTCTTGTGTTTTTGGTTTGAAAACTTACCTTTTAATATACAAAACAAACATTTGCTTATCTTTTCTTATCCAAATGTTTCTTTTTCAGGAGTTTAAGATGTCATCGAACACGAATTCATCGAAACTTATTCGTTTCAATAATTGCTCAAACTATAATTCGACTTGTTTTGTACTTGGACCAGTATGCTGCCCGGTTAAAGGGAGGAGAAGTTGGTGGAGCGGCTGGTTCCAATAGTCAGACTATATTTGATACTGTACGTATTCGACTTCACTCAAATGATACTGATAATTTTAACCATTGAGGTGTAATATAAATGCCTTTGTTATACTTTAAAAGTTAACCAGCGATAATGGTTGTATGTCTTCTTCAGCTATTATCCTTGTAATAACAAAACATCTTCGATTTTTAATGCGCATGATATTTCTTCGTTTAACAAAATCTTTAGACTATTTATTTTTCCTGTATCCGACGGATTGCGAGCATAAACATTAACTATGGTATATAATTATGACAACCATGCAAAAGACCAATCACTTAAAAATACATTGAAAAAACTAGCCCATTTAGTTCAAAGTAAATGATGTATTTTGATTTTGAAATGATTATAACACTAGAGCCATCACCCCGTTTTATTCATAACAGAGTGTGTTTTCTAATAATTTATTAATACTTACACGTAAGCACATCTTTGAAAATAGATGCGTGTAATTTTAAAGTTGTTAGGCATTCCTTCAATTCTACCCATTTGAGAAACAAATAAGATTGCAGTAACGATATCTTAAAATGAAGGAACCATACCTTAATGATTGACTAACACGCTTGTATTTCTAATTAGATGGAACCTGTCTAATCGTAAATCAAAATGATAAAAATTAGCACTTTAGAAAGCTTGTGTAGTTGACACCTAGGAAACGATCTGATACAACATATTGATCAAATTTTATCTTATTTTTTATAAAAAGTTTTTTTATTTACTGCATAGAAGAGTATTTATTTGACGTTTCTGTGCAGTTAGAAATGAATGAAATATAAGTGTTTGTTAGGGAAAGATGTAAACAGATAAGGTTCAGTATTATAAAAGTAAATAATACTATTCTACACTAAATTGCTTAATAACTTTACATGAGTTTCAATTGCGAAAATTGCTAACATTTGCAATTTAAGAAATTGAGTAAAAGAATACTCAGATATCTTTATACATGTAATTCTATTTTTAAACTTTGCCAAGAAATGTGTATACTTGTAAAACTTCCCATTATCTTGACTTTCTTGGACAATAATATGTGTGTGTAATATATCTGTGTGTAATATATGTATGACAAAAAACGTCCATGTTATGATAGAAATAAGAATAAAAACGGCAATTTCACAAATCTTATTCTATGTAATAGAATGAGATTCAACTTTGCAATCACTTGGATGCTTTGTAAAAAGCAGGCTGCCATACTGAAGGTTCTAAACTAAACGTCTTATTGAAGTTTATGGCTTTACTCTGACATTCTCCCTTAAATCTGCATTATCTTCATTAATTATACATGCATTATCCTTTGTAACACCTCAACCTTTCTTCTTCAATAAAATATACGATACAAAATCTATTTCGTCCTTAAATTAAAGATTTATTCATTTATTCACATTAATTTGGCTTGAAGACAATCAAATAACAATACCGAATAAATAACTGCTTTGTTAGGAAATCTGGTTAATAGCTAAACAATTACAATTCTGAGACTAAGATTTTGCATTGACAATTGTACTTCCAACATAATGGGAATCTAAGCCTGTTTACAGGTGTATATATACCAATATATTGATACATATGAATAAATGATGTGGTGTGTTTGTCAACGAGACCGCAATCCAACGACAAAAATATAAAAGGCGACACATAGTCTTCATCAATTCGTCCCGAGTCTATAAAACATCTTAAAATATCAAGAAAATCTACAAATAACAACCAAATAAAAATAAATAAAGATTGCATAAGACAACAATTGACACGGTTCCAGAAATTGAAAGTCATATGAATATGTGCCTTGTTTACCTTTAGTTTTGAGATTTCAACTCTTCCCTATTAATCATCATCAGTGGACTAAACCAAAAATCAGTACAGGAAAAATACTGAAAACTATAAATGATATGATTAGTCAACAAACACGCAAGAAAAATCGATATGAATAATAACCTTGTATATCATATCGTATCAAAGAATGCTCGCAGTTATTGAAGTTAAGGTCAAAGTAATTAACATGCTGATATGGAATCATGTCGTCCTCATTCTAATATTGGTTACTGTACTCCTTAGAAAATTTCTACAACAAAGGCAGACACAGTAAAAAGAGGACACGATTTTGTGAAATGTCAGTACAAGCTAAAAAACCACAATGCAAAAAAAAAAAAATAAATAAAAAATAAATATTTATAATCGATTCAAACTTTAATGTGGTTGGGAGTTTTAATTAAAATCCATAGAATGTTTTGATAATTTGTCAAAATGTAGTTTTTATCATGCTTTTTTCCAAAATATAATAAAAAGTATGGGTCACCGGACTTTTTTCACGCTACAGGTTGTCCAAATTTGTCAGATTTTGTATAGATTATGCATGGAAAATCCAATTTTATGTGATAAAAAGAAAAATACTCCATAGAATTTTAAGATAAAATGTGAGAAGATAGCTCTTATAACACGCTTTCAGATAAGAAAAAGAAAAAATGAGGTCACAGGACTTGTTTTCTTGCTACATATTGAAATAGGTAAATTCACAACACATTCTATTATAAAAATTACTCAATCTGAGTTATCTCCCCTACTATCTGAGTTATCTCTCCTTATATGGCAAAGTTGACAAAAAAGTTACTCAAACAAATATATTGTGTTTTTTTTAGAAAATACGGCAGTAAATATGATAAAACACATAATTTTCTATATTGAAATGAAAAGTCTTACACATGAATTACATACTACTCTCAAAATTTGCACATTTTACTAAAAATCTAGACCAATTGTTATCTGCTACTTCAAATTCCAAGATGGAGGAAGACACCCCAGCCACCTTTAATTAGCGAATTAGTGGTGTATATTGCTATCCACCAAAAGACGTACATTGTATGAAATATAAGTATTTGTACGCTCTACGAAACTGGAGAAAAACTCGGCGAGCCTAGCTGTTCTCCCCCTGATTCCAAAGCTCGTACAAATACATTTGATATTTAACTACAATGTACATATATTGTACGTATATAAAATAACATTCGTTAACTTGCAAAAGTTATATACTGTTTTATACATTCTATTTCAGCCTGTATTCTGCGAAGCTTTATATGCATTATTAGAATATACAAAGACAGTGCAATTCATGTGGATGTTGATAGAAGGATTATTTTTACACAATATGATAGCAGTATCCGTATTCTCTGGAAAGCCTAACTACCTTATATTTTATCTTCTTGGCTGGGGTAAGACTGGCACACTATTATTACACAAATTAAGCACTGGCATTAGAATGCATAATTATACAGTCACCTAAAATTTCTTAAGTAAAAATAAAACGAAAAACGCACAAATATGTATAAATATAACGCTTAACAATTTTGATATAAAAAGGAATACAGAACTTTCACAAATTAAGTCAACGGATCGAATCTTAGATATTTAAGTATCACAATCTATGAATACTTGTAATAGAAAAAAATGTATAATTTCGAAAACTTTCTTAAAAATCACAATTATGAGCCATTTTTTAGCTTTTAAAATTTCAACACATTAAAAATAAAAGTATGACACAATGCCAGAACCTCAATAACAATACCCTAATCTTTTCATAAGGAATGCACGACTGTTAGAAATTGACCCTTTGTTTAAATAATTAGAAGAAATTTTAACACACATAAAAAACACGTCTGTCTATCATATCTTATTTCAGAGCAAAACATGACGTAGATGTAAATTTAGGTCACTTTAAGGCCTTTAACAATGAGCAAAATTCCTATCGTACATTAAGCTATATGACGCATATTATTCTGCATTATTTGGCATTTCTGTGTTTAATGCTGTTTTCACCCCATGTTTGTATGTTAACATACATGTATATGTTTCTGTCGCCTCAGCTGACATTTAGTACACTGACTTTATGCTTGAAATACAATTATGAATAAAAGAAGAAGTGGGGTATACGACAGTATGACAGCTATCCTGTGGCACAAAAAATTAACAGAAATCTAGTTTAAACATTAACAATACCAATTTTACTGCACCAGATGTGCTTGTCAGCAATGCTTGTCTCTTCAGTTATACTCGAGGCAAACATATCGGATTACCCAAAATTGTATACCATCGTTAAAAGGTGGATAACACCAAAAACGAACCAAAAGTAAAGCCAAACCGGACAAGGAGTCAGATCATGAGGTCAACATACAGTTTTTGACAATAGCCAAGTGTCTATGTAATATGTCAAGCTATAAATCGCCCTAAGTTGTTAAAGTTGTCAAAAATTCCACAAACTTAAACTCTAAAAGATCTTCCATCAATACTAATTTATCTTAATCCCATAACAAAAAACATGAACACATGACATAAGCCAACTGCTGATGCGGTCCGTGACTGGTTACATTTTTTTTTACAGATCTCAACCCTCCCCTTTATTAATACCGATCAGTGGACTAACAAAAGGAACACATAAGAAAATATAATAAAAATCAGAACACGGTAACACTTTAACTTTAAAATAACGGTACTATAGATGACAAACACATTTAATCAACAATATAATTATATAAGCAAATATGTAAACGATATCAAAGAATGCGCGCATTTCATACAGTGATGTAATATACAGTATAGGAATACACAGTCTTATGCAATGCCGAGAAAAATATCTGTCCATTAATTTTTAAGATAAAAGAAAGGAATATTACCCCTACATATAATCATGAACCTGTCTCAAGTCAGCAGTTGTTCTGTGTCAAATCATTATGCTTTTGCCTGTAATTTTGATAATTTAACGTGATACCAGGTCCTTATAAAATAAGGCGATGTGGTATGATTGCCAATGAGACAACTATTCACCAAAGTTCAAATGAAGTGGAAAGCAATTACCGGTATAGACAATCGTACGGCCTTCAACAATGAGAAAAACCCATACCGTATAGTCGGCTATAAAAGGCCCCGACAAGAAAAATATGAAACAAACCAATTGAGAAAACGAACGGCCTTGTTTGTTTTATTTGTTTTTAAATTCATATATACGTTGAAGTCCTTACAAGCTTTACATATTGCAAACCCACCTGTCTAGTGTTTTAGACTATACCATATGTTATCGTCCTGTACATGTCTTTTTGTTATTTTGTTTACTACATAGTTCTCGTTTGGTTGATGTAATATCTTTGTATCATATTTTTGCATTCCCTTTTCTTCCTTTAGCAAATATAATAAGCATTCCATAGATTAAATATTAATAAAAGAATTTTTAAAATGCAAATGCTTTAGTTTTGTAGTACAAGTTCTAACCTATACATGTAAAATTATAGATCACAGTATCTGCGAATTCTGTCTTCTATTGTTAATATGTGTGCATGACTGTTGTTTAATATTCTCTTCTGTATTTGTGGTATTTGAGGTGTCTTGTATTATTAGAGCTCTCACTCCATATGGAATTTACTGACCCCATATATATCGTATTAGGTCACTAGCACACCGTGTAACGAATTTACCTTACCGACTATCTTCACAGGTGGTATTTTGACTAGCAGCCTATCAAAGTGATCAAGTCTTCAATACTTAGTATTAAGATCCTACTTCCATTTGTCTATACAGAAAACAAATGCCAACAATAGCAACTTTAAAGCTTTAAATTTGTTTTATGGATTAATTTCAATCGTTCATTACATGTATTATTATTACTTCGTCTGTTGAATCCTTTCAGATTTCTTTTTTTTTGTTTTGAAAGGGAAGTAACCCCGTTATGCAAACAATAACAACTTGTTAGCTTTAATTATGTTTTATAAAATTATTTCAACCTTTCATCATCAATTTCTTCGTCTGTTGAATCCTTTCAGATTTCTTTTTCAAGTTTTGTTTTGAAAGGGAAGTAACCCCGTTATGCAAACAATAACAACTTGTTAGCTTTAATTATGTTTTATGAAATTATTTCAACCTTTCATCATCAATTTCTTCGTCTGTTGAATCCTTTCAGGTTCTTCCTCAACACCGTGTTGTTTTTATGAAGGGTTGTGGCATCATTTTTGTTTTGAAAGGGAAGTAACTCCTTACTAACCCCATAGGTAACTAACCATGTATGGTTGCTAACCCTATATTTTTTATGACACCCTATATCAAATATGCATAGTCACCACGTGTAGTCCTTTAACCAATCATATCTCTATAAATCTATAGGAGGTAAGATAAATTATATAATCATACAAAATTTCGACATATTTAGAGTGTTTTATACATGTATAGATATGTAGTTGATAGAAATCTCACGTCCTCTGCTATTTAGTCTCACTCTATATGAAAGGTCAGGTGCTACAAATGTACACAGACTAGTAGACACCAAAATGAACAATGTCTTACAAACATTCATTACATATTGATTAATAGTTATAACAAAGGTTGACATCTTTTCAGAACTTATTAGGATTGTGGCGACATAACTGATTACAAACAGATTTGTGACGGGCTAATCGAAAGATTCAGTCTGTTCAGTTCCTATAAAGTATTTCTGTCTGAAATTGCAATACTTTTTTCTGTTTCTTGGAAAATAGCATATTTCCGAAAGTTTGTTGCATGTAAGAGTTATGTAAAACTGATTTTATTTGGCGCAAAACGAACACACAGTTATCTGTGCATTCGGGATCTCCACAGTAGAATTTTATCAGTGGTCATAAAAGACAAATGGGTTCGATATATGTTAGATTCAATGACATCTAAAAAAAATCCCTTACAAATTTAAAATATCTTTGATGGTGAATACAATATGTACAGAAATCACACAAATCGTTATCCTTTTTAAAACCTGATTTGCAGCCGCATAACTCTATCGCTCACTTATTATCCGAAGAGCAGCACGACCGTTATATGAAATGTGTGAGTGTATGTTTTAATCCGTTTTCAATTTTTAGAAATTAACATATATATCTTTGAACCTATCTTTTTCATCAGTCTCAATATCAGTTGTTCCTATATTTTTTTAATTACAGGTTCCCCTATTCCCGTAACAGTTGCATGGGTCATTACAATGGTGCATAAACATAAAGTAAAGTAAGTTTTTAAAGTTATTATGTTCTTTATTCACTATTACCGGTATGTACTGCTTACAGTATCTTGGATGAGCTTTTACTCTGTATATTCTTGTAAGTAGATATAAGAAGATGTGTTATGAGTGCCAATGAGACAACTCTCCATCCAAGTCACAATTTGTAAAAGTAAACCATTATAGGTCAAAGTACGGCCTTCAATACGGAGCCTTGCCTCACCACACCGAACAGCAAGCTATAAAGGGCCCAAAATGACTAATGTAAAACCATTCAAACAGGAAAACCAACGGTCTAATCTATATAAAAAACGAGAAACGAGAAACACTTATGAACCACAACAAACAACAACCACTGAACATCAGGTTCCTGACTTAGGACAAGTGCAAATAAATGCAGCGGGTTTAAACGTTTTAATAGGCGCCAACCTTTACCTGAAACAATAGTGTAACATCACAACATAGAAAGACACACTACAAAATATCAATTGAAATGGCTTAACCTAATCAAAAGACATATTAACAAAAACAAGTAAACATACACTGAACGAATAAATTTGATCTATGACACAATGTAAATACAAAATTAATATAAAAAAAAGGGGGGTCACCAGCCCAGTACTCAGCACTTCTGTGTTGACATGAATTATCATTGATATGGTCATAATTATAAATTAACTGTTTACAAAACTTTGAATTTTTTGAAATACCAAGGCTTTTCTACCTCAGGAATAGATTACCTTAGCTGTATTTGGCAAAACTTTTAGGAATTTGTGGTCCTCAATGCTCTTCAACTTCGTATATTACTTGGATCTTTTAACTTTTTTTGATTCGAGCGTCACTGATGAGTCTTTTGTAGACGAAACGCGCGTCTGGCGCAAATACAAAATTTTAATCCTGGTACCTATGATGAGTTTAGTTAGATGTAAAACAATATCAGAAAGACAATCATAAGCCTTGTTTTAATTTAAGCAACAGTATTTTATAGGTGTTCAAATCTCATAAATCGATTTAGAAAACAAGTTAAGGTAACAAACACATATTGAGGGAAACGCAATAGAATGAATTTCATAACAGTGTGGATATCGACACCTGATATTTAAATTATATCGTGTAGGTCACTGGCTGTCGACAACAAAGACTTCGCGCAATTACAGTATGTCAGGGGCCTCTCAATGGGGATATACATAATTACTATATTACACATGTCCATTCATAATTTTTTTTTTTGCATGAACGTTTATATGAATTTGTTTTGAATATATTTATATACTCACAGCACAAAGTTTCATTTGAAAGAATGAGTATGTTTAGAGGTGATATCACCAAGTAATAAGAGAGAAAAAAATAAAGAAAAATTCTTCTCTGGCAATAAGTGAAAAATTAAGTAGCGTGTCAGTTATAGACAAGTAGTCCATCATGCATTGCAAATCATTCAGTGGATTGGTCAATCGCCAGAATAAAAAAAAATCCTTTATTTGTAAACAAACACTAATACATGCATTGACGGGGGCATAAGTATGCTAAATAATACATGTCCGTATAAGGAAATGTGCCCGACCTGTTAAATGCAGCTGTTCTGCTGATTTGAAAAACGAATGGACGGATCACAGCGATTTAATTTAGAATTGTACTTAATAATTTTTTAATTTGTGTTTTAGTATCTATTCATGAATTAAATATGTGCACAATACCTTTTATACTAAAATCATTAAAAGAGTGCACCCAGTTTAAAGGCTATTATTACATTGTTACTGTTATGAAATTCATTCTAAATCCAAAAAGAATAGCTCGGTGCGTCGACATGGTATGTGTCTCCTGCGATGAAATAAATGGAATTGAACACAATACACAGACATATCGTATCGGTAAACCAATTATTGATGTTGACAGAAAAGTTACGTAGTGTCGAATTCAGTCAACAGATATGGTCAACAAGTGTTGTTTGTAACTATACAAGTAACACGATGTATATACATGATATTTATAATTTGTCACAATAGTGATTAAAAATCAGCCCTCTTAGTTTGTTTTCAACAGAACTTGGCTGTTGATGTTGAAATGATAAATACTTTTGTTGCAACAAGTAGGTATTCGATATCGAAAAAGGTAGCAACGTATGTTCAATAAATTCTCTGTTTTATTTATTTTTTTCACCTAATATTCTTTATTTTGTTTTGTCAGTCCCTCGTTTCATCCTATCTTATCAGAACGGAGAAATTGAATTTAAATGTGTTTCTATCCATTGAAAACTTTTATGACATACACAAAAGTATATTCAAAGATGAATTCTTTAAATACTTTGATGAATCGCATATTGTCTAAAATTTAAAGTATTCTGTTTTATAGCCTTGTCATCTATTTTAATATTTTTGTAATTTTAGTCAATGTATTGACATAAACAGTTTTGAAAATCCGTAATTGACTGCAATTTACATTCATTGTCGGTTGATTTGCTGTTATCTTATAAAAATATAGGTGACCAAAAAAAATTGGACCACCACACAAACTGTTCTAAATGGGAGATTACTGAAATTTACTTCCAATTAATTTTGAGACCTGGAATAGTTTATTTAATCCATGGTGTACAGGAGGCAACTCTTGGTATTCATCTTATTATAGACATAGGAAAACATCAGTTTTAAAGAATAAAATTGTGGGACTGGAATACACGAAAGGAAAAATTAAAGAAAATTCCCATGTTTTCGCAACATTTTCCATAAACATTAGAGTAAGTTATCGTATATGTGTAAAAAGATTCAAGATTTTTTTAATGTCTCTTGTAAATAAATGCATGCATTCTTCAGTTTGGAAGTTAAAGTTAGAACCAGAATGACCGTTCAGACCTATGTATCAATGTTTTTAAAAGATAATTTAAGCATACGAATATGTTGTAAAACATTGCAGAAATGACTTGCTTTCATAATTTCTGCATTGTAATAAGTGATACATGTACATGCTTATCTTTATTAAATTAATTAGCACTGTTTGTCTGTTACTCATAGTAATGAAAACTGAATTGTTATTTTCTAGATGCTGGTTTTCATACACGTTCACACCATTTTATTGGATCATAGAAACTCCGAGAGTTGCAGTCATCGCTGTAAGTCTATTAAGCTAAAAGTAATGTTTTGCTTTAATTGTTTTTTTTTTATAACAAAAGTTAAAATCAAGCCTCCATTATTACCAGCATGTTTCTGCAGGCAGATATAAATTGCATTCTCTCTAAAACTTCTAAGGAACATCTGTTATAATACCAATTATATTAAATATGTAGTTACTTTTATTTGTTTTTACCTGATGACATAGATTTCAACATCATCCTATAATAAAACAATAGTATGCACACGTATCATTATTGACAAATAAACATTTGCGGAAACTGTCATACACCTAACGGTTAGGATTACAATTACACTTTCAGGTAGCATTTACATCTTTGGTCGTCTCAAAGTGTAAATATAAACCGTTGTTTCAAAACAAATTCTAGCTCATATGATGTTTTTCTATAGTTGAACAACAGAATTTTTAAAAAATATATGAAGTAATATGTACACATTAATTATTGTACATGGTGTTATCCAGATTCAACATGCTGTAAATGTAAGGAGTATGGTAAAATGGAAAATCAGCATTTAATAAATTTACATGAGACATTAAAAAAAATCGTATTGTCGTTGGCTAGGTTTGGACAATTAGAAAATAATTTCAACAAGACTTAGTGTAAAGAAAGGACGATCAACTAAGGAGCATTTTGACAATATTTAATGTTTATGCTAAGACATATAGTTTCCATATTTTTAAAAGAAGAAAAAGAAGGAATACAGAGGTTGGGTGCTTAAGAACTATTTATTCTTGGTGGCATTATAAACGCAATATAAAAAAAAACACAACATTGTTACCAATGAAAATCTTTGTATCGCATTTATAATTTAAAATATTCGTCAGACTCTTCTTAAATGCAAAATAGGAGTATTCAAAAAGTTGGAATTTTACTATCTATATCTTCTTATATTGAACAAAACTAATACCGGGTCTAGACCTGCATCGAACTTTGACGAAAACTTTCCCTGAACAATAAGACTTATAAAATTAACTATCGGCAACAGGAAGTGGCTGCACGACAGATGTACAAATAGCATACGCGCTGCAACTCACAAATTATTTAGCTGCAGACCAAATATAAAATTATTCCTTTCTCTAGACGCGGCCAGGAAAACTTTGAGGAAAGTTTTTTACGCAAGGTGTTTTGAACAGATGGACGGACGGACAGAGCCGAGCGTACTAGACCTGCCTTCGCCTTAAGCGTCGCAGGTAAAAATTACTACCGGGTTCTGAGTTATTTGTTTTTTGTGCAATTTTTATAGAGATCTTGGGAATCATTTGAGTATAGACGGTATTTCACGGTGTCGATAACTATTTCTCTCCCATAAACATGGGTGGATCTGGTCTGATCGAAGCACGAGTAGTTACTATTGATCCGAGACCGGTACAATTGTAATTTAGAGAGCACTTATGACAGTGACCCAAAGTTTATCCGCAAAATTATTCCGTTGATTAAAAGGGATAAAAGGTGCAAAGATATATTAGGCGTGAAGTAATTCTAAAAAACAAAAAACGTAAACTATTTAAATCGGTTAGGAGGCAGTTTCGGATACAATTGTTATCGTGAAAACGAACGACATTGATATTTCAAAAGCACTGCGTTACGGCGGGCTTAATAATTATATTGTGTTACTTGCTTATCGCATATTCCCTGATTTTCAAGTGCACCGTTTGTAGAGTACCTTTTGAATGAATTTTTGATGATTTTGATATACTTAAATAAGGTAAGACACAATTTTTGAACTAAAACAAGAGGATTATAAACCTTATACAAGACAACAGATTGGTCGAAAACATTTATTTTATACGCAATTACGATCTGTATTTCTTTGAGCAAAAATGCCCTATTAAAACCTATACCATTTGATATGGCGTATTCCCTTGTCTTTTTTTTCCCGAAATTTTAAATTAATAGGTTTTTATATCATATTTTTGTATTCTGCCAGCCTGATCTCATTTATTTTATGATTGTTATGGATTTTGTCAAGAAAATGATATCCAAATATTTTGACAGTGAGCATTACTTAAGATATAATATTTGTCGAAATGCGCAATTGGTGAAGTAAAATTGGTTATGTTTTTATAATGTTATTACATTGTATAATGGTCATAATGTAAAGGTTGTATTACTTAGGAGAATAACTGAATTTAACAGCAACCTAAGCTAGCCATTCATCATTGAATGCCAACCATTATATAATAAAACATGCAAATTGGTAAACATTAATCATATCTTGTTTGAATTTATCAATGCATGCTGGAAATGAATAATGAAAGTGCACGGTAATGATTTTAAATACCGATTTGATGAATGAGAGATTGATTTGTTACTCTTCAGTCCGATTTATTAATACTGGAAAGACATTCATGCGCTAATATACATAATTTGGCTACTATAAAACTACATCACAACTTATATTGGTTTTGCATTAAAATAGTAGCTTTGTTTTAAAAAGTATTATAACAATTGTAATAAGTAGAATCTATTATGTTAAATTTTCGTTAATTCAGTTTAATATATCATTTCTTGTAATTTCTGCTTTACTTTAACATACTAAATATACTCGCTCTATATATGATTAAGCGAGAGTTAGTTGAACTGATAAAACGCTACCTGTGCTGACATGTCCTTAAGGCTAGACACTGTTTTGCTGTGTTGGGAATGTGTCAATAAACGTCGAAGGCAGGTCTGATTTCGGACAGTATAAAAATGCACTTAGTTTGAATCTCACTAACGCAAAGTTCCATATATCTAAAAATGCATCTATCTCCTACTGGCAGTCAAATGCAAGGCCTTATAGGCACATTTGGTTGTACAGTAATTTTTATTTCAATTCTTTATTTGCGTCCTGAATTTGTATGAAATAAATAAAGCAATACAGACAAAAGGGGGGAAAAATGACATGTTTAGGTACATTTTTTTCCATAACACTTTATGATTTATGATAACAAATAGAAGCAGGTGTAATATCATATCTCATTGAAAGGGGACTTATTCACTTTCCTTAGTTTTAATTCCAATTGTGTATTTTCTGATATTAATTTACTAGTATTCAGAATCGCGATAAGACTATCACACTTTTAACGAAATGATTCAATACTGATAAGGAAAGTCACTAGTTATGTTCAAGTTTTTTTTTACAGATGTTTCTCAACAGTATACTGCAACTAGAAATATTTACAACTATGACATTTTATTTCATCTGAAAATATGGATTCATGCAAAAATAAACATAGCGCACAAAACCGCATATAAAGTTTCTTTCCTTTACATATTAGAATTATCAAGTTGGCAGTCATTTATCATAAAACTTGTATAAAATGATTTGGTAATTTTCCTAAATTTACATGGTTTCCCTTTATTTGTAGGTGAATTTATTGTTTTTGTTGAACATTATCAGAGTATTAATAACAAAGTTGCAAAAGAGTCAAACAAATGAACCACATGTTACAAAAGTACGGTAAGTTAACACATTTCCTTATACTGTATCTAAGTTTATTAATATCATTATGATTGAAGCAATAAAACTTAAATGCATTTCGTAAACTAGCTAAATACAAAAGATAAGAGAAAAAAATTGATTTTCCTAATCTTTTGGTTTGTGGAAATCGACAACCTACAATTGTACTTAGGTGCAGCTTTCTTAAAGCCTCGAAAAAAGGAAAAAGCAGATAAAAAAGCAGAAGACACCAGAGGGACAATAAAAATCAAAAATCGAAGAAAACCGGTCAATACCACGGCTATAACGAAAATACAAACATGTTCTCAAACCACTAAATAGAAACCCAAAGACTGAGCAAAACAAAACTTATCCCTAAACAGACAAGGGTTATCAAACCAGCTTATATACATGTAGTTTCTTGTGTTTTTGTAACAATTATGTAAACAGCAACTTTATTATTAATGACTGTAATGGAAAATATTTATGAGCAACAAATATTGCTATCACATTTAAAATAAAATGTCGCACTTTGGTGCTTTAACTCTTCACTTAGATTTTTTTTTTCAAATTGTTTACTTTTATTCTTAAAGGAAAGCAGTTAAAGCAGCAATCATTCTTCTACCGTTATTAGGCATAACAAACTTTGTTGTAATGACAGATCCACCGTCTGGAGTCACTGCGTTTGGTATCTGGTCGTTTACTACATATTTCCTTGTGTCATTCCAAGGCTTCTTTATTTCATTACTTTACTGTTTCCTGAATGGGGAGGTGAGTAACTATAATTATCACCCAAATGTAATAAGTTAGATATTTTTTACAAGTAAATACGTACATGTACAAGTATCGGTTTACAAACGTTAACTGTAATAGTGTGAGTAATACAATTACGCGATTATTCGGTATTCACGCAGCAAAGTTTAATTGTTAATTAGATTTATAAATAACATACGATACTTCCGTACGTACTGTTGCATCGCAATCCTATGACCAATAACAATGGTAAAATTATCTCTTTATTTCATAAATGTAAAATACGAAGTTTTGCATAAATGTTTAGGGCACATATAAATGAAGTTATATACCTTCATCAAGTTGAATTTCTCTTTAAAGGCAATTAAATAGGTCAATACTAAGCTTTGTTTCTAGCATGTCTAAATTACACTAAGCATGAATCAAAACAATTTGAGATCAACCATGATACCAACAATAAAAAATCAATAAACTAGAAGCAACAGTAGTTTCTTATGTTTTTTTAAATCTCATAAATCCTCTCAAAACTTACAAATCAACATAAAAAACACATGAGGAAATCGCATCAGCTCAAAAATAGTGAAACCAGGTGTGTCAATAGGGTAAATGTCTCATGCTATGCATACATCCCCCGCAATGCGACATTCAAAACGTGTCAATTTACAATAGGACAAAATCGGTAAATTTACAGATCAGGCGACGATTCTGTCTTCTAAAGATCGGTCAAAGACTGCAAACAATCAGTAAGTTGCTATATAAGAGTAAAAGATACATTGAATGATGGGTAGTAGACATTTAGAACTACCTCATATGGCCTCGTGGGATTGTTATTCATTTTAGGATTAAGGTCATTACCGAAAAAACCTGAAAAATTAGCATAGGTTGTGATAAAATTTATTTTAATGATACCATTTCAAACGAATTGATTTTACTTTTTGCAGTAAGGAATGGAAGAAAACAAAGCAATGTAATATACAATTCAAAAATGTAATTGGATTTACTTTATTCTTAGTTATGGACTTTTTCTTTAAATTGAAAACCCATTAAAGTGTCTTTGCATTATATTTTAGTATCTGCATGAAGTTGGCAATTATTTTTCAATATTATTGAAGAATAGGGAATCACGAATGTACCCTTCAAAGTATATCCCAAATATGCCATATCTAGTGCATAAGAATTTAATACTAAGAGTTATCGTTCTTACAATATGAGTCTATAATTCTAGGTTCAAGATACAATAAGGCGTCATTTGTGCTTTAAACGTCCTACAAGGTGGGATGCATCTCATACTTCAATCAGAATTTACATGTACCCACCACCAAAGAAACAATCGCAGGTATAACTCACATAGTTCGGAGTTCAGACAAAAATATATATTTCCAAATAGTAATGCTTAACATGACCTAAAATTTATGATGTTTTAACAAATTTGAGAAATGGTCAGTTGAAATTGGCAGTAGAATGAGTGCGTGTTATATCTTTTGAAAATGAAATGAAAGAGAGAATGATTGTTTAGTAGAAAGTATGCTATGTAATGCTCTAACTCGCGTTACATTATTTGGAAATAAATATTTTCACTTATTATGTACATATTAAATAGATATAGATTGGTTTTTTTTATGTCTATATGATAATGTAGCTTGAGAAATCCAGCTGTAATTGGTTTTTGACTTATATTCCATTTTATGTGCTATACTCCAGTCTTCCAGTAAGAGTAGTTTTATCTTCTCTTAACGCGCGTCTGGTATATTTCATAATGAGACTGGTATCTTCGATGAGATTTTACGACCACTGTTTCGATTCCAATCATCACAGGTCAAGTAGTAAGCACTTCTGTATCGGTTTGAATATATCATGTTGTCATTTTCTGTAAATTTAATTTCATAAAACATTAAAAACCTCCGAAACGCTAAGGTGTCTACCCTAAGGAATATGTGGCCTAAATCATATTTGGCTCATTTGAAATATTTTCTATTCAATGACCTTCATCTGGTTAATTGAATGTAGAACGATTTTATTTTCCTTTTTTTTTTTGGCTAAATTACAAAGTATGTACAAAATCAATAAATGCCCAAAAGGGTACCCATTATATTGAACTGAACTTTTTTAGGGGATTGTAGTACATTATAGACATTTTGAAATAAAATTGGTCATAAAATGGAATATAAGGAAACGATAACCAATACTTCTATGATATAGTCAATTAAATTTTTTACAAGTTTGTTGTAACTTTAGGTACAAATGACTCTACGCAAACACTGGGGACAATTTCTCCAAAATAGAATGGTCCATTCAACAAGTTTTAGGCGTGGTAGCCGATCGTTTTCCATATTTACATCTATAACAGAAGTTCCCAATGTTAACCAGGTACCAATAGTGACTGTTTAGACGTCAATATTAGAAAGATGTAATCAGTTCATGTTTAGATGTCAAACTATCATTGCTAAAATAATCATAATCAACCATTGTATTTTCCATTTGCAATGTTTCAGTTAATAATAAATGTATTTCTTATCTAATGATTGTCTTTTTGAAAGATCATTTGTTTTTGGTTTTGCTAACAGAAGATTTCATCCATGCAATTTGTAAACACGATGGTTGATAGGTATCAAGCAATTACATATATGTAGCAAAATGCTTCAAAAAATATGTCCATGTTCCCCTTGCACTTCAATTTCAAATCATAATAAAGCACTTGTACCCAGTGTTTGTTCTGTGTAGTTATTTATATAATACTGCTATAAGTATATGTGACATAGCAAACAGAATGTGCATGGAAGCTCAGTTCGAGTATATTTTTGCATGAACATTGTAGATATAGACTAGATATTAGTTTTACATATAATGTTTTTTTAGCATAGTTATTTATATCAATTTATCTTTGATTTTCATGAACAAAAATAATTATATTCTATTAATGTAACAAATCATATTGAAACATCATACAGTTTTAATGAAACAGTTCATGTATAAACATGTCGATACCTGTATCTTGGCATTGCACAAGGTCATGTTTTTCTCTGACTGTTTATGACGTCTTTACACTAAATCCATTGGATGTTGGATGTGTACGGATTGATAATTTAGTCTTAGATGCATCATTTTTTTTATTAGTTGTTAGTGGCTTTGAACTAGCTGTCAGTAACTGTTTCAGCCTCTTTCAACTGATTTTTATAGTTCGTTCTTATGTTGTTCTGTTACACCACTGTCCCAGGTTAGGGGGAGGGTTGGGATCCCGCTAACATGTTTAACCCCGCCACATTCTGTATGTATGTGCCTGTTCCAAGTCAGGAGCCTGTAATTCAGTGGTTGTCGTTTGTTTAAATGTTACATATTTGTTATTCGTTCATTTTTTGTACATAAATTAGGTCGTTAGTTTTCTCGTTTGAATTGTTTTACATTGTCATTTCGGGGCCTTTTATAGCTGACTGTGCGGTATGGGCTTTGCTCATTGTTGAAGGCCGTACGGTGACCTATAGTTGTTAATTTCTGTGTCATTTGGTCTCTTGTGGAGAGTTGTCTCATTTGCAATCATACCACATCTTCTTTTTTATATAGACAATGGATAAACACAGTTACTCCTTAAGGCTAAGAAGTTCCTGCTTGAATATTCAAACCGTCAAGTTTCTCTTGACTTTCATTTCCTATTCATTCTTTTTTTTTTACCTAGCCTCAGTTTTAGAGGTGTAGTTTGATGTTACGAATATGTCGGGCCGTTTGTTTTAGGTCGACTGAGGAAAAAACATTTACAATGAAGAAGAAAAAAACAAGAAAATAGTTGTATCAAAATGTCTGTAGTTTACATATTATCACAACTCACCCTTTTCTATGTGTTTGAGAATATGAACAAAACAAGATGACAGTAACTCGACGACACAAGAAAGAAAGAGAATATATCTCTCGATATTATTTTAAGGAAATATATTATTTATTTTTAAAATAAAAGAGGGCTGATTTCATTTTTTTTAAATAAAAGAAAAAAATAAGAATACATTTCACGATGAATCAATTTGATTTAGGTTTTCGGTCATTATAATAGGATTTAACACATTTTTTCAAGAGGTCATTGATGTGTAAACTGTGATGAATAACTCACAAACTGAATAAAAGTCCATAGGTCTTTTATGTAAAGTGTGTGATTCAGCAACCAATTTTACATAGCAATCATCAATAATCTCTAGAAAAAAGTGTTGAATCCTTATTAATCATTTGCATTTTTTTTAACAGTTTGTTTGTATATTGCCTACTATTTAGTCAAATGCACAGTTGATATGTCGTAGCAAAGAAGGTGGCAGCTATATTGATATGCTAAAACTATAAATGTTCGATTAATGCAAAAGTATCTAAAATGAAATAACACCTACAAATATGTAACTCAATTTTAATGAGATATTATCCGAATTTAAAGAATACAAGTAACGAAATAACCTTCAGCTGATGAGTTTAAATTCGTATGACGTCATAAGTTTTGCCATGACGTGCATGTGCCAAGACCATTCATGAAATTTAGCGGAATTCCACTTTATTTTAATGTTATACATTTTCCAAGCTCTAACGCATTATTTCTTTTTGTTATGAAATAGAATTCTGTTTTTTTTTACTCAGTTTGCTCGAAAACCTAGGATCTCATGCATGTGTATCACACATAAATAGATCACAGTGAAATCGACATAATCTTTACAAAGGATACAAAGGTAGTTTTGGCAACACGTGGTCTATCGAAGTGTAAGCCAAGTGAAAAATTCTAATCGACAATCCGATTTAAGTATTTGTAGATATAGAAATCATATATAAGAATTATCTATTCGTAACTTCGTAAAAGAGAGGCGACAGATACCAAAGTGATATTCAAACTCATAGTTCGAAAAATAACTGACAATGCCATGGCAAAAAAAAACGAAAAACTACGAAAAGACAAACAACAGTACACAAAACACAACATATAAAACATATAAAACTAAAGACTAAGCAACACGAACCCTACCAAAACATAGAAGTGATCTTATGGGCTTCTAAAGGGGGATCCGTCGTGTTGCTCATGTAAGTACACAACCGGCGATAAGTCTAATTCGGTAGGTCACATTCGGGGATAAGAGTAAGGGATTGTGATTACGATTGTTGGAACATATCCGTTATCATCTGTGAAACAAATATTCCATAACGGTCAACAACTCGTGATAGCGTCCGTAAAATGTTTGAAGGGATGATTTCAATTTCACCTCTTGGAACTCTTCAATAGCTTCCTTGTAAGCAGCAGTCCTCTATCAGGGAAATCATGATAGAAAATGAAAGCTCTGGAATATTGTATCAAGTGGGAGATATATACTTAAATGTTGATTAACAGAATCCACAAGCAAAGTAATCTCTTTACAGATTCACTGTAAAATAAGGATTAACAAAAATACCGAACTCCAAGGTAAGGGTGAAGTCCATAAAACCTGACAAAATCTCGACTATACCATCCAATTGACCGAATGGAAAACAACTGTCATATTCCTAATATAGTCATTTTTAGAAGAAAATGGTGGATTAAACCAGGTTTTATAGCTAGCTTAACATCCCATCTATGACAGTTGTTGATAGTTCCGTTTTATTAACAAAATTGGGTGAGCAACCCAAACAGACATAATTGTTTAACGTGACTACAACTGGGATACAGCATTCAACATAGTGTAAAAATACACCATAGATATTCAAAATTATAAAAATTAAATAAAAAAACAAACAATCATACAAATAAATCTAACAAAGACAATAACAAAAAGTGTTTGTTGTTGATAGTATATATGATACAGTCCTGTAAGTAAAACATAATGACATAAACACACCTTCCCGTGATAACTTGTCCCTATTGAAGGCTATGCAACTACAATATTTCAAAACAAACCAGATTCTAAATAAGATTATAAAAATAGTAAAGATGTGGTTATGCTTGTAAATGAGATAAATATCCATCAAAGGCCAAAGGATACGGATGTAATCAAGTACAAGTAATCGTACGACCTTCAACCATGAGGAACATTCGTACCTTTGTTCTTTTCTTCTTTTCGTCGTTTTTTGTGTTTCGTCGACTAATGAGTTTTGAATATCCCCTTGATATATTTCTTCTCGTTTTTTACAGTAAGCTATACAATAACATTATTCATAAAGTAACATAAACATTTCATCGTATGTTTCACTGACATATGTTTAATGTGCTATATAAGGTTTACAACTATTGACGCTTATATTTTCTTACTTAAAAATATTAAAACAAATTAAATGAATAAAATAAAATATGAATTAATAACATTTAGACAAATCAGATACATACGCAAATTGAAGTAGTTTTTTGTATTTCTTTGGAAAGAAAATATGTTTGCTAATTGCTAATACAACTTCTACAGTCATAAACATATGTTATATACTTTTTCTTATATGATCTTACAGCGGAGACAGTCGGTCATTCCACCACCAACTGGTAATGCTGTTCCATTATTGAGAGAGATCGTAGCTCGAAGTGATTCCCGTCTGTGATAAACATTTTTCTCTCTATTGATTTTGTATAAACTGTATATTTGTATAGTAAAATGAACAATTGTTTTCTTCTTTTAATGAGATATTGTAATAAATATTGTAAAGTACAATTAAAAAATCAGAACAATTACTGTTTTGTTTACCGTTGAAAAATAGACATGTGGACGGATTAACACAATTACATGGCAGAACAAACTCGTATCAGTGCATTTGTTTCTAAGAGAACATTAATAATGTTATTGAATAATTTACTAATCAATAGACTTTTGTAAGAAATAATACCAGCATATGTCGATGAAGTAATTTAAGTATTAATATGTCAATCATGGTGCATAACTTGGTTGTAAAACTGCTTTCAATATAAATGGATTTTGTCGTTATACTGGATTGGATTGGAATGTTAATAAATTGATGTATGAAACACGGTGACATTTTACGCATTGATCATCAAAGTAATACTCGTCTGCTAAAATAAAACAACCATACAATGTTAATCAAACATACGAACTTTGACATTTAATTATACTTTTCTTCTCAATATATGCATGTCAGTAGAAAAAAGTAGAACAAAAATAACTCCAAGGGAAATTTAAAAAGAGGGGAAGTCCATAAAAGCTGACAAAATCAAACGTTGGACTTAAGGAACCAACAGAACATATGGAAAACAAATGTCATACTCCTGACTTGGTACAGGCATTTTCAGAAGAAATGGAGGTTCAAACCTGGTTTTATAGCTAGCTTAACCTCCCACTTGAATGGCAGTTGTTTATAGTTCAGTTACATTGTCAAAACACATAGATACATAGTACTATAAATACCATTGACTAAAACATTAAATATGTTATTATATAGAGGCTATCAAGAATGCACTCCAAATTCATCTTCCGAACGACAGACACAGCATAGCCAAAGCCAAATAATGAACTAGGAAAGGAGACGGTAACTACGACAGGAAAAACACATTCGTGGTAATCTGTGACATAGTTATTACGTCACGGTAAAATGAGTTATGGTGGCATCTGAAAAACGTTCACTTAAAGGCAAAAGTAGTTTGTCGATGTTCAAATCTAATATATCGAGTAAGAAGATTAATCAAATTAAAAAGCAAACACTGACGGAATGGCATGGACTTCAAAAGAAGAGAGACCAGTTGCGTCGATAGGGAGTTTGTTGGGATCTATAAGATAACTACTTTAACACCGCATAGTTAATATAATTATGTCTTATTTCAGAAACCTTGTTGCAAGAAAATAGGATGATACAAATAACCAAATAAAAATCAACCGAAGAAGGCCAGACAATACCATGACTAAAAGAAGGAAGGAAAAACACGACTATATTATAGTTCATAAAATATTTCACAGAAAACTTAAAATTGAACAAATCCAACCGTGAGTGAAAGCAAATGCACTAGACATAACAACATTTATGACATATAACATTGTAAAGTTCTGAAATTACTATAAGAGAATTTAAAGGCGCTTGCGTGATGAATGAACCTTCTTTTATGACAGATGGTCACTTTATTCACTTTGGATGTGTTTTATGCGCCATTCTACCACTCTCATTTTCAACAAGGCTTGTATTAGAAAATTTGAACATATTTTACAACTGCATGCCTCCGGTACTTTAAAATGCACCATATTGTATCAATCAATCTAAATTATCTGTTTATACAAGGTTGTATTCAACATATCAGTTTAGTGTTTATTGTACGATCATTCAGCTATAAAGAAATAAATATTTTTCTCTCTCCAATTACTTCAATATTTATTTTTCCATAAATATAAAAATGAGCAGATTTCGTTTGAATGCCAAGGAGACAACTATCCATCAGAGATAAAATGAAGTGATAGTAAGCAATTGTAAGCCGCCGTTCGGCCTTTAACAATGAGAAAACCATATACCGTATAGTCGGCTATAAAAGGCCCTGACATGAAAAATGTGAATTAACTTTTTAAACGAGAAAACTAACGGCCTAATTTACAGCAAAACAAGATACGAAAAACAAATATGACAACCACTTTATTACAGGCTCCTGACTTGGGACAGGCACATAAGGAATGTTGCGGTGTCAAACATGTTTGTGAGCGCTCAATCCACCCCTTACCTGGATTAGTGGTATAACAGTACAAGACAAGAACAAAGTTTGAAAATATGATGATAAATGATAAGTTTCATCTTCTACAATGCCGAAACTAAAACAATTGTGTGCACTAAACTATTCATTATCATATCAAATAAAAACTTTCACCCCATCAAATGTGCTTTGCTGTAAAACTTGTATTATTATTGATTAGTGTATTTTAAAATTGGTTCAAATATAAGTTTCAATTTGATCGATACGAGGCACAAAAACCACTAAAATACAACAAGACATAAAGCACCGAAATAAGAGTACTCGCGGTTACTGAAAGCTAGTTCAAAGTCAATTACAATAAACAAATAAATCATGTTCTCCCAGACTAAAGTATCGATCAGTACACATCCAACGGATTTAGATGAAAGAGTCTAGGAAATGCATGATCTTGTGTTGATATCATTTCTGATGACTTAAAATATGAAACGCAAGTTTTGGCTGCATTGATTCAATCATTTCTCGAAAGGTTCCCGTCTTTATTCAAAATTTTTAGCACCAAATAAACAACTTGGAACCAATTCGAAATCGTCGTTTTTTTCCATTACAACAATAATTATGTACTAGTTAACAAAAGAAACGATACAAGGCAATGTATTTTCCATATATAATGAAATTGTATACACTGTACCAAGGTAAATAATTCCCCAATTGGTCTAATATTTTCAGAGTGTTATTTTCTTACCAAAACCATTGATTTAAGGCAAATACGCGATTATATTTTTTTTGTAATTTCTGTTATTTCAAAAATCGTATTTTCACCCAAAAATTCAAAAATCAATATTAGAAGTTAAAACTTTGATCTTAAACATGGTCTGCTTAAAATTTTGAATGCCTTTGTACATATTTGAATACTTAATTCTCATCTTCAAAACTAAGTGCCGACTTTTGTCATTATTTTCCGCAAAATAAATTTGACCCCTGTGTTCATTAACACGGTATTTTCTAACTTTCCAATTTGGTCAGATTCTTTTAATCATATGCATTTGATTTTCAAAAGAATGTTTTTCATTGGATAATTTAACAGTGTTTCCTTTTTATTAAAATTTATGATAAATTGGAGTTCAAACTTGTGTATCGTTTCTTTTGTTGACTAGTATATATTTTGACTCACGTCGTATAAATTGTCAACTATTTCCCTTTTTTTAAAGAAGTCTTTCTTTTTTTTTTCTTAATCTTAGTTAAAAGAAAATAACCAGTATATATAAAAATATTTTGATTCAAACAAACAGCGGTAGCGTTTATCAAAGATTAGTGATCAACAATAATGAATACCATAGAAATTGAATTGTCCCGCCAGTCTAAAATATTTTTAGAACTTGCTTGATGCAAAGAGATGCAGCACTAATAACATTAGGTATAAAAAAAAACATCCTAATTCGTTAATTGTCAGTATACAAAATGATCTGGATGGATGTAACTTGCAGACTAAAGAACAGTAAAACACTGGATACGTTTAAAAAACTAAGTACTTAGTATGAATATGTGTGTCGTCAAGAATTCTAGAAAATTCTATGGACAAGAGAATTTAATTTTCAAAAGTGCATATAACATTTATTTGACAATAAACGCAAAAAACGATTTATTCTTGTAAAGATTTAAATGCTGTTGCGGGAACAACATGCACAATTTAAAGAATAAATCTTATTTTTTCAGTTTGAGCCACACTTTTCTGAAAATCTTGCTAATTCGTTCCGTTAATAGTATGAATTATACATACCTAACTCAGATAGGTCCAGAACGTAAGCAAAGGTATGTAAATATATTTAATTAACGGACTTTACTGATAAAAAGTGTGCAGTCGTCATATTCTCATTACCAGATATAATGGAGGATGAACATAGAGGATATGCTATTTTTGTCCCTAAAATTTCAAAAATCAAACAACATCTCCAACCTTTCGCAACCATGAAAAATTTAATGATAATCTTTTAGAATAATAAGGTCTTCTCATTTAAGTGTGGACATGTTATTACATTTTATAGCTCACATAATTTTTTTCTCTAAAATTGTCATTTTTTTGTCTATCATTCTCGACTTATTATTGGTTTAACCGCCTCTTTTGTATCCCTTTGGTTGAACTGCCCCCTTTGTATCCTCTATTATTTTGAATATTTTTGTATTGATTTAGGAATAGTATTTTACAAATTATATTAGAACATTAACCTATAATCCATAACGTTTAATTTTAAATCATATCATGTCTGCAAATAAAAACGCGTACTGTAGTAAATTTTATTTGATCTTAGCTACGGTTTCTAAATATCTTGCATTGATGTTGAACAATATCAAAGACAAACATGAATTTCTGACGGAAAATTGTAATTGTTCTTGATCAGTAGATAGAAGATTTTTGTGCGAATAAATAAAACATGTAATCTGCATGTTGATCTGATTTTCTGTAAGTTAGAGCTATAATGAGAAATATCCAATCAATACAATATTACTTTAATAGAAATAAGAAGATGTGGTATGAGTGCCAATGAGACAACTCTCCATCCAAGTCACAATGTGTAAAAAGTAAACATGTATACACGTGGCACAGACAGGACGAGAATATTACAGAAGAAATCAAGAGCACCTTTACCGCTTTCGAAGACCTAAAAAATTCAAAAGTTGATATACTAACATTTAGATAAGCATAGTCACAATCTAAAATTTATAAAATTCCAACCACTCGAAACAGTTCAGAAACAGCCAGGACAATCACACAAACAATTTGAAAAATCCCGTGAAGTTAGCGAGCATATTTTGGATGAAAAGACTTCAAACAGCTTATCCTCTCGGTCTCAATAACAAAATATTGGGACAGGGGAACATGTCTAAAACTTCTATCGATGTCATGAATATTGTCGATAAACGGTTAAGAAATAATAGGTCTCATGGTAAACGTAAAAACCGTAAAATACGTATTAA